ATAGTAGGTGGTAAAATAACTCTTCGATGTACTTTCACCTACGCCAATGAAATGACAGATATGTAGTTCTCTTTAAACGTTTCCATCATTGCTATGAAAAGATTGCTGTGTAAAGATAAAGACATTTGCATATCTAATAATGTTAAAGTAACCGCATTCAAAGGCGTGTGTCTATGTAGATGTGAATGTTATTTATTTAGTATATACATACATACAGGTGAAAATAAATGTATTTTATGGTTATAAATAACTCTTTGCTTCATAAATGTTATATGAAGTGTATAGAGCCGAGTTCTGACGCTTTTTAAACGTAAATTCTATCGATTGAAGTTCATCATTGGTCAAAAAAAAGATTTTGGAATAAGCCTGCGTATACACCTTGTGTCATATTTAATGAAATTTAGTCTATGTATTATAATGAGTCTTTTGCGGCGCAAGTTTGCTAAAAGATATTTTCATCAAGTAATTATTAAACTCAAAAAAAAACAAGCGAAAATATGGTTCATGAGTAGTTTTCTGTACAACGAAGATAATTGATCAATAAGTTGTCATTAATTTATTCGAAAAAGCATTTAATGAAATTCATTGATATTTCTTTACAGTTTTATAAATCATAAATAAAATTGTTTTCTTTACAAAGACTTAGTTATATTAATTTATTACATTGTTGAAATCTGGAGCATATCATAAAGCATTAGCATTATTCATGTATGCCAATAAATTTATAACGTAGATATTGATTTTGAGTTTTTTCCATAAAATAAATATTTTTTTATAATTCTTAAGACGGTATAAAACCAAACTTATGCTAAGATATTTTATAGTGTAGTTTTCGAGTAGAAATTTCGATTGCATTGCTTCCTGTTAAACATTAAAGTTTACTCACCTTATTTATAGTTTTAGACAGTACAACCTGAATTCATAAAAAATAAAATATTCGCCACATAAAACATATTTAAGTATCACATTTTATTTAAAACTCTAAATAATTAATATTGGCTTTGTAACATAGTCAATACAACATTTAATAGTGAATTTATGTCAAAAATATATTCAAAATACAAAATGTAACCGAATTCTTTACATAAGTATCACATAAGTAATGCAAAAAAGCACTATAGTCGACTCATAAGACCATTTTCTCACATCAATATAATTTAGTGTATGTACTATTGTACATCAGCGTTAATTTTTTTCTTCAAGTAACGTAATGACTGCGAGGCAGACTATAATTATTTTATGTACTGAAAATTCATCTCAAATGTCCGTATTCTCGCTTCCCTACATGAATATGCATGTGTGACGAGCATCAGTCACCCAAAATCAATCTATACGATATTATAGATTCGCGAGGCCGTAAAAGAAGCCGTCAGTGTTAAAACCGAACGCGACGCACGCAAAAGGGGAAACTAAATCGAGTTTTGTGCTGGAAACGTTAGTATTGGGAAGGGTTTGCATTGTACATTCAAAAATCATGCGTGAGTTTAAGTACACGTACACATTTATTATGATAAATCTCGATGGTGGATGAGGCTTCGAGAAAAATGTTTCTACTAGTCTTTGCCCTTTTTCTCTCGCTCTCATTCTCTCTCTCTCTCTCTCTCTCTCTCTCTCTCTCTCTCTCTCTCTCTCTCTCTCTCTTAGTTTGAGCTAATACTTGCTCGAGGAATCTCACGGTGATCTGCGGTCAGCTAAAGCAAGCGACAGAGAAAGGAGACGGAAAATTAGATAATGAATACCCAAAGAAACGGCTGTTGTAGTCTTGCACAATTGGGGTGTGATACACGAACAGACAGACAGCGAACCAACGTCATTGTCCAGCTCCATAACATCTCTATTCATCGATCGAGAAGTAAAAGAATGGCTCGACAAGAATCGACGCGGCGGCGAAGAAAAAGAAAGAGAAATGCAAAAATTAGTCTTACATCTTTATCTGTATTGTATGCTCAAAGAGGATACAAAGATGCACGCGCTCGACCATTTTTCATGTTATTTACAGTAAACATATATATACACACACGAACGAGTCGTCCTATACCAACAAACAGCCGTTCGGTCTACCAAAGGGTGGTGTATGCATAAACTCACCGCATACACAGATGTTTTTTTCATTCAGTCTATTACAATCAACGACAAAATACTACAGCAAGCCCAGAGGCGGACGCGCTCGTATATATATACGTACATGTGCATGTATCTCCGGTCAAACACTTGTTCTCATGTATGCGAGCGTACACATTACAGAATTCTCATTTGCGCGCGAGCTGCTGAGCACATGCGAGATCGCAGCCAAGGCAACAACGGTAGCTCATCGAAGTCGTGCTCCTTTTCAAACACGCACTGATATATATTTGCATACGACTGCATGCGTGTGCATTTACGCGCTCGCGCGTGTACGTGAGTCCGACTGTATAAATGTGTTGCATGTATTTCATACGTCGTACGTATATATATATATATATATATATATATATGCAGGCCCTTTTGTGTATGCACGCATTTTATACATAATACGCGTACATATAATAATATAATCGAGCTGCGAGGGCTTTTTCAAGTCTCGAAGCAATATCAAGAGTCTCCAGCAGGCCGATAATGTCTTTACTACCTCTGGCTGTGTTCGCGGTTTCCTCTGCGTGCTCTTTCTACTGTCTTACCTATACGTACACGCCGTGCAGGCTATTATTTGCTCATGAATATTCGGCCTGCTTTGCGCCTGCGCCCCGAACTTTGCACAAGTGCATATAATAGACATCGCATCGGACGCGCTGTACGTACACGACTACACACATGTCTCGAACTGACTAGTCGCACGCGCCCATATACAATGCATAAGCTATGCTGCTGCGTACGTGCATCAGTCAATTTTACCTTTTCTCGGCTTTATTATCCCCTGTGTCCATAGCAGCGATGCCGCTACCACCAATGACTTATTTCTGCTACTGTTTCCTGCCCAACTGCCACATGCGAGTTTCTGTGCAGTACCTGCACTATTAACGCTACTACTATATCTACTCAGTCCTCTTTGTACCGTTCGCTACAACAGAATTAAATATTATATACTATCTGTATATTGTGTCTACTCGGGTTGAAAAATATGCTTAGTGAGACTTTTTTATTGCCATGTAAGTGCAATACTGATGTATTACTTTTCCACATAGGCATCGGCTGCACTCCAAACGTTTTCAACCCTCCTTTTTCGCGCGCGCCCTCTTTTTTTCTCTCTTTCCCTCTCTACGTTATTAGCGCTATTATTTCATTTCTCCGCTCTTTTCCTTTTCTCTTCTACGTATTACAATGCAGGTAATGCACGTAATTTGTGTTTTGTCTGGGGCACTTTCTTCTTCTTTTGGCCGAAATAATGGAATCATCATAAAGAAGCCGAGTCGTGCACAGGCTGCGATTCTTGACTTTCTTTGACTCTGAGCAAAAGTATACATTTCTATATCTGTATACGTCTACACAAGCGCATGTGTGTATCCTTTGATCGGCGCAGTCTTTCGAAAATTTGTATGAAGTGTATGCACGTCATCATTGAGGGTCTATATGTATGTGTCAAATATGTGCCTGGCCTTGGCGAGGATGCACGGTGGCAATAGGCACACATGTTGCTTTGCCGGAAAGAGAAGGAATTTATGAGAAAGAACGCTGTCTCTCGGTACAAAGTAAAAAGAAGAAGATAAATATAAGTTTTGCAGAGCAGGTACAAGACCAAAATAAGCGTAAGAGTCCAACGAAATTTGACTACCTTCTACGTGGATCTATTTCTGCATGATAGTCGCATATTATTTTCTGTAGGGTAGACATACTCATAACTGACCCGTAATGAATGACATTTGGAAAAGTATGTTATGAAAAACAATTGAAAATTACATTTGAGTGAAATGTTCTCAGTTTTTAGCACACGATGGATCTGATTTTTCTCTGAAGTGGTATTTTACTTATCGAAAACAGTCAATCATTAGGCAGAGTACTCTAGATTTTCTTAAGGGATTATCTACCAATTTACAAACTTATTTAAAAATCCATGTAATTGTATTCGTGAGAGTAAGAAACGATTACGTTTAAATTTTATCAAAATTTGCATCTTGATTTGATGCACATTCTTAAGGATGTTCCCGCAGACCTAACTGACAAATTTGGGCATATTTATAAAAAAAACTGAAAAAATTCATACGCTTTCCTTGACAAATTCTAAGACTTTTTTGTTCTTTTAAAATTTTTCGTAGAGTTCATGATTATTGAGATAAAAAATCGCAAAGATTCATTGCTTGAAATTGTTTAAATTTGAATCGTTTATAGCTCGTTAACAATCGATTTTAGAGAAAATTTGCAAGAGCACTTTTTTGTTTAAAATGACCCTAAAAACCTTAAAAAGTGGGTTTCAGGTCAAAAAGTTTAAATTTTTATTTTTGCAATGTTTTCACATTAACTTTTCTCAAAAACTATTTGGTCAAGTTTTTCCAGGTATTGAGCCATGTTTTAGTACATACTGAACAATCATCTTCTAGTTTTTGAAAAGATTTTATCGATGCGTTTTTTGATAATCACGCAAAATAGCGTCTTTTCGACACGCTAGCATAGGGATCCCATGTTAAAGTACCGAACTTTGATTAATTATATTTCGGAAATGGTTTGGTTAAACTTCCTGAAATTTCTCACACATATGAAAAGTATTGTCAATAATATGTGGTTAAAATTTCAAGACCCTTTATCGATAGTCATTTTTTTGAGGGAACTTCCTTAAACTGACAAGTGAAGTAAATGAAAAACTATCGATTACAATAGTAAATTACCATTAATATTAATTATTTTTTGCTTCAATTTGTTTTGTGTAAAATGATTGAGTTGTTGAATATACTGATAAACAACCGATATTGAAATGATACTTTACGTTATTAGTTATAAAAATAATTAGAAATAATTTGAGTGTTGTAAGATTCAATAAAAGAGACAATTATGCATGTTATCATGAAAATGCGAGTAATTACCCAAATATATTTAAGTTTGCGAAAATAATTTATTGCTACAAATTTGAAAACTACACATGAGAAATTTTCGATTTAATTGAGATCTATAGATTTAACCAGTTTTTCTTTTATTCCTTACAGCAAATAATTTGATGCTTGCCGTTGAAATAAAAGGAGATTTTTTATAAGTCTATACCCTTTGACGTGTATCACACACTCATCAGCTTTACAAATATCCCATTTTATTTTTACAATTTATTTTTCTACATTATTATATTATTGTAATTGCTTAGAGTATCGTGCACGATCTACAACATTTTTGTTTTTTCTCAAGCTTGATTTTTTCGTTGCCTTATGTATCAGTATGTATATATTTAATAAATAAGCATGACAACAACAAGTTGTTATATTTCATAATCTATATTAACAATCATTTTCAATATAAAACGTACTTAATAGTAATGAATAGCGCGAAAATTCATACACAAGATCTACAGAGAACAAGCTGTCTTCTATACGAGTGCAACTTGTGAGCAAAATGTTTGTATACATAGATATTTGTATATTTTTTTAATAATATAGAACTGAATAACCTTTATAGATGTATATATTTAAAAAAACTGGAACGAATTTTTTTTCTCGTTTGTAACTACTTTTTTTATTTTGTTAAACAAGTGCATCGTCCCATTGCACACGCGTTCGCCGTCGTTGTTTTCGTTTTATTACGTCAGAACGCTTACTGTGCTGTCATATGATAGTTGTTGTTGGCACAAGGGTTAACTTTTGGTTGAAACTGACCCGACGAGATAGGTGGTATGGCTAACGGTAGATCTGCTGGCCTTAGATATTCTGACACGTCCCTTTGACTTAAAGGGTTAACCAGAGTCCTGTAGAGATTTTTGATGGCATGATGCTGGGGACTGCTGGTCAGTGTATTGTTCGTTATCGGCGAGGATTCGGTGGTCAGTGGCGGTGGTAAAGATGTCGTTTTTTCATATGATGTACCTAAAACAGAAAGCAACAATACAATTGAACAAAAGAACTTTTCTTGAAAGCACTTGCATATTGAATAACGATTTGAACTTGTTCAAGCATAATTTTTTAACATCATCTACAACTATTATCCAAATATGAGTGACGATGGTCAAAAGATAAATTGTTTTAAGTCCAAAATACATTTTTGTATGCAAGCAACATTTTAACTTTTCTTTATTACAGAGTACCTTAGATTAAAATAGGAACCTTTTTTGCTGTTTCTAATAAAGGCACGTGTTAACAAAATAATTTTTATGAATTATTGGTGAGGTGGTAAATATCTTGCTCATAAAAAATTTTCAATATGTAACATGTTTATGATGTTTTACTACATGATTAAAAATATTTCTTAACGCCTTCGCAGGGAGTGAGTTGAATATTTAACATTGGTATCATTAAAAGGTCTAATTAATTACTTACATTGGTTAAATTGCAAGAAAGAGTTATGACATTTGAATGTCGTAATAAAGTATTAGTGTTTTTATTAATGCAAAAAAGCTCATTCTCCATTAAAAAGAAGAAAAAGGTAATCATATGTAAGGGCCAATAGTCTATTAATTTCACCTATAAAAATATTCAATGACATTTTCAATTTTTTACTTGCTTATTGAAGAGTTAGATTATTTGTATTTTTAAAACATCTATAATAATGTTCAAAAGATACCACAGGAATGTTGAAATGGTGTAGAAATTTTTATCCTCGCTATAATCATTTTATTTATATGTTCATCCTTGTATGTAATGTAAAATTTATGATATAATTTTTTATTTAGAAGCCAACATAGAATTTAATTATATTTTATCTTAATCTTAACTATGATAAAATATTTAGTATTTTCTTCGGATGAGATGAAAATAAATCTTCTCGTATTTTTTAAAAATCTTCATTTTTATAGATTACGAAAAATAAAACTTTAAACTTTACGACAGAACTATTTAAGTATTGAAAGTAATACACTAAGATTTTTCTATTTTTATCATTGATCGAACTTGTTTTTTTCAAGATTTTGAAGTTTTATCGTTATGTTTCATTTTTTTCATTGTAGTATTTTTACCATGTTAAACAAAGAAATTACGATTATTTTGATAATAAATGGAAATTTTCAACTTATTTAATACATTTTAAATCAATCAAGTAACTCAACTAACTAGAATCGTTGTTGAAAAACTCAATAAAAGCAATCGATAAAATTAGAAAGAGTTAACATGATCAAAATACTCCGGTCAGAGTCCGGTCGAGTCATATCGTGCGATTAAGAAGAAACGTAACGATTTTCATCAATGTAGTCAAGTCAAGCACGATGCGATATTTATCGCTTCTTCTGTTTTTTATTACATCGGAATGAAAAAAAATATTTAAGTTTTTATTTGTCTGCGTGTGAGTGCATACATATAATAAGAACGCGTATATGGCATGAGAAGCTCAGCTCGCGACGCGAGGCATTTTCATTGGAAGAAGAATCATTATTTTGCGGCAAAAATCGTAAATAATATTTCATGTGCGCCACGGCAATATAGAAAATAAAGGCACTGCTCGGGAAGAAAACAGGCACAACAGTCTGGCAACAGCAGAGCGACGGTGGCGGCAATGGCAACGGCAGCAGCTACGGCAAGGATAAATAATTGCATCGTTTCGTTTCGAAAATGTTTTATTTCTCATTCTTCCTCACATTGTTAATTTTATGTCTCCGCTAAGCAAACTTTTACGATTGCTCGCGTTCACTCGCGCAAGTTCCATATACGCGCAAGGCGAGCTCTATGCCCTGTATATATATACGCGGCGCATACGTATATGTGTATACCATACTATGTGGTACCACGACGACGACGACGACAGACAGAGAGAGCGAGAGAGGCCCTTAACCAACGGCAATTTCATGTGCGCGCGCAGACACCACGCCCACACATCGGAGGCAAAAACGCATACTGCGGACTCTGTATATACAAGTCCACGCATTGCACCTACACACCAAAGCGCATACACTCGCGCGTATATGTCTCTGTGTACACGAGTCGAGCATATACGGCGGAGTAAGCGGCAACCGAGAGAGAGAATTAAGCGAAAAAATGCAAATAAAGCATCGTAAAGCGACAAATATGACCGAATAATAAAAAATTCGGAGTATGCGTGCTTCATTTGCATGCAATCACGCACGGGGGTAAACTCGAGCACGAAGAAATAAAGCAGTCAAAACTTTTACACGTTCATATTACTTGGCGTGAATTTCGCGTCGCAGTGCAGAAGCAACGAGAGTCATCACGCGCAGATAACAACGCGACGATGGGAAGTTTTGCGAGTTGCAAGGAAAAACAACGACCCGAACGAGCCTCAGGCCGTGAGCGCGTTGAGCGTCTGAAAGCGCGAGCTCTATCGAAAGAAATAAACCGAAGGTTAATACCAACAAATGACGAAGAACGTGATCTACGTCTTGGTGTGCATACTTATAGATCGCATATAGCGAAAGAGAAAAGAAAGAAAAGCATATAACGCGGTGGGCTAACATTAAAGGATAAAAAGAAGTCAAGGCTGAATTTTTTTCTCTATATATCTTGTTCATTTTCTATTGTGCAAGCCTGTAGTCTTGTCCTATACACATGCTTGTGTTCCGAGTCTGTGCGTGTGCGAGAGCGAGCGAGCGAGCTGCACATCGAGAGGGAGCCAAGCTCTCGCGAACTAGCCGACACTAAAATCCATTTTATGTCTTCCTCGTAAAGTCAGTCAAATGAAACCCCGGGACTTAGTTTTCATACGTGCCACTGCTGCAAACACACACACACACACACACATACAAACAGAGACTTATATATATATCTGCTCACACGTACGGGCACACGTACACACATTCTCACAAACACGCGAGCGAGACGGACTTGTTCGCGCAAAACTTATGAGCAAAAAGGGGGTAAGAGGCGGCTTCTATACTCGGACTGATTTCTTCGGGCGCTCGTATAAACTCTCTCCTGTACCTCGCGAGATTTTCAGTAGCATCGAATGCTTCGGGTTAAAATCAACTCTTAGGCCAGTGCCACACGGCGAACGCCCCGCTGCTCGAACCACCACATACGATATAAACAAGTCATTTCGCAAAGATTCTCGACTGCGCCTCGATGCTCGTGTATATATATGCGTGTGCCATCGTCACTGGAGTACAATATGATGCGTATATAGCCGAGTGCTCGCGCATTTATGTCTGATCGATATAAAATAATAAATTCAATGCGTTCTCTGTGTTGCAGGCATTACGCGCGCGAGCCAATAGTGGCTTTGTTAAAAGTTTTACGGTTTTTTCCTCCCACATATATATCGCGCGCGAATATCCAAGTAAATATGCACATATATCACTAGCATAATATAAGAGACTGCGACGCTGCCAAAGCTCGTGAAAGCTCGACACGATGAAATTGTCTAAGATCCTATACGTTATCGACGATGACTTATCGAGTAATCCGCGTTGTGATCAATTACTGGCCCAAACGAACCTTAAAATTGTATGTAATGTTTTTATCGCATATTACTTATATGAAGAATAATTTTTTTTTCTAAATTAGCATTATTGTCTCTTTTAGTATTTTATTTGAATATGCATTAGCTACAACAATGATCAATTTCGGTCATTTTTGTAAGATTCAGTTACGAAAATTGGCTCTATCAAGTCATAATTGCAGCTTGATATTGAGCATCATGCTATTTTTATTCATCTTAATTTAATTGATATCACTCCCTCTCGGTCTCTAAGTTTTAACTATGTAGAAAATATTAAATTGTCTTATTTTCATATGCTTATCCAGTTAAATCATTTAGTGAATCAATAAAACTTCTTTCTTATTTATTGTACAATCGTTCATGAGCGTATGAAATATTATGGTTTGTTCAAACTTGTATGCCATTGTAAGACTGTATTCTATGGTTGTGCAGTCACTAGCACAATTTTACCAGGCTGGCCTCTGATTATATGCGAGCACATATAACAACTTCTTCATCAAGATCATCAGTAGCTCACGTATACACGCATAAACACATAAAGACACAATACGAGGTATAAGTTATAGAGGCATAATGTTTAAACGCGTCGCTTTATATAAAGAAAAACCAGAGAGACCACACAACAGCAGTCTGGTATATGCGTATATATTACAATGAAAAAAGTACATGCGAAACGCGTAAAAAGTTACGAGGTTTGATGAATCTTCGCCGCGGCCATTATGTATTCTTTTTATTTCGCTGCATGATGCATAACGGCTACAATTATAGTGATATTAATTTTAATTTTCTTCGTTATTGCGTTATATATGTTTCGTCATGAAAGAGCAATGGTGGATTGCGATTATTCGTCATTCGGCTCGTAAAATCAGCCTCTTCCGAATCGCAAGCGAGCTCCGGAGCAATATTTATCCATATGCAAAATTAGAGAAACTTTTCAAAGTTTGCAGCAGCGAAATCTGTTAGAGACAAACGAATATTATAACGTTTAACGTTCCTTACGATTAGTTTATTACGTTACAAAAGTATGTTTGGACTAAACATTTAGCTGCTGCGATTCGGAAGCTCTCGATATTGTAGCCACGAATTGTATAAATAAATGCAATAGGTGTTTATGTCTTCCATGCGCTCCTTTTCTCGCTTTCTCGCTGGTCGCGAAGGCGCGCGGGGGGAAACTAGACCTCGAGTATAAAAGCTCCATCTTAAAAGCGCTTTATTATCCACGCCGAGGCTGCGATGTCGCGCTCGATCTCGCTTCGCGCATCCTACATAAAGTCTCTCTTCAACGAGCCTGTGTATCCACGGGCGCGTATTTACGAGCGGTAGCGTACTACGGGTACGTATCATATGCTGCGCCACTATCCAGGAGTCGAGGCTATTCAACGACCCCGCGGAGACCTTTTCTCGCCGCGTCTCTTTCATTCTCCGCGCGCATGAGAATGAGGCTTTCGTGTCATTTGAACGTCATTTCGAATCGTAAAACGATCCG